ATCGGAGATGTTTTCATGGCAAATTATGCATAACAAGTTTGCACCCACAGGGAGAGGTTACCTCCTGCGCAGCTGCATTTTTCAGAAAATGGTAAATATGTGAGATTTACACTAAGATGAAAGTGGAAATTAAGTTCATTTACTTATGAAAGGTTGTATCATGCTGGTGGTAATGGAGAATTGGTTGTATAGGACGCCAATATTAAATAAATGTTCATTTTGGCCTTTTCTAAGAAAACATATTGATACTCACAATTTTCGACGGAAAACGCAACGGAACTTGCTTTACTCAACACGCACCATGCTATAAAATGGTGCTAGATGGTCTTCAAAGTGATAACAAGAATTGAGAAATCCAACTTAAACTCATGCGCGCCTGGTGGCAGGAATAAGTACTAACCGACGGTGATAATTCTGTGACAGCCCTTGAAAATTTCATTGATTGTTTGCAAAATTATTTAATTTCAATGTAATTTCATGAAAATTTCTTGTCAGCATGGATGAATCTTGTACAAAATACATAAAACTATTTTGTAGTGCATTGTTCTTAAATAAAAAGCTACTTCAAGACTTATAAATTACTGAAAACATGTTAAGGTTTGAAATCATCTGCCGATTAAACAACAGACAAAGTTGGCCGACTAAATCAATCGACGAAAAACTATTAAATAGGCCGATTGCTCGGTGTAGCACCAGACTAAAACTAGAGTCGGTGTATAATGAGTCACGCCAAGAGTGAAGCCAAGTCTACCTATTGAACTGTCAAACCGGCTACCTATCGTGCAAAGCTAATAAACATTACGATGCTATGAAAGATCCACGAAAGGTATTGCAATATAATATAAAATATAATCGAAAAAATGAGCATAAACACGCAGTGAGCGTTAAATTGTCATGGGATACGCTCGGTAATGATTAGTAATGAGAATTTCTACTATTTTTTGTTCAGATTATTTGTCAAAATCACTGATATAATGATTTACTACAGCCGCAATATTTTTTCTCTCGCTAGAAGTCATTTGAAGTTGTTGTAGAAGTCCTCTGTTGCCAAGTGAAAAGAATTGGAATGTTTCGAAAACCGTGATGCAAGTTCAACTGTTTTTCTCTTGGCGTGACTCATTATACACCGACTCTAACTAAAACGATTTAATCTGCTGATTAATACACCGACTGAAATTAATTTTTAAGTGACAATAGATTTAGTCGGTGGACGATTCGGGTGATTTGGATGATGTTTGTTTATGTGGAAGATATTTTCGAAACAAAGCACGATAAAATTCAGCATTATATACCATTATTACGAGTACTACTTTTTTGCTCGGATCATGTTTTGACTTCCACAGAAACTCGCTAGAATAAATAGAAAATAATGGTTTTTTGGTTGAAATTTCAAAAATGTATTCAGTTTGACACATTATTTCGAACTTATCACCGCTGCGATTGCAGCGTCACGGTGGTCGATTGAAACATGGATTTGTCAATACAAATCATCTTTATTTTGAGTAATTGAGCAATTTACTTCTGTTTACATCATATTTACAATGCAGCATTGATGGAGCCGCGAAATGAAATGAATATATCTAATGAAAGTTCAACTGGAAAAGTCAAAGATGCATATCAGTCTGATCGTGAAAACGTTTTCTTCTTCAATTCGAATGTTATATTGGAAGGATTTTACACAGGCTTGATGAAAATTATGATTTAACGCTAATTTTCACGAATTTTATATGCAGTCTGTCAACATTATCATCATCATGCAGTGGCGACATCTGCGTTGAGATTTTACGGCAATCTTCCAATTGAGATGAATGTCTACACGCTAACTTAAAAGTACCCATTAAAGAGTAAAAAAAGACCCATTTTGTAGAAAAGTGGCTTAACTCATGAAATGAGTAAAACAGACTTTACTCATTAATGAGTATTCGATGAAAACGTCAAAAAAAAATATCCTTCTTGATGGTTCTGTAGATGAGTAAAAAGTACACATTTTATTGATTTGTTTTGCTTTATTGGGCTATCTGGAAGTAACAAATTAAATTATATAAAAAGCGGATATAATTAAAACACTTCATACTCTTTATTGAATATAATCACAATCATTATAATTTATTTGAGTTTATAAATCGCGTTAAAAATCTTTGACCACAGGTGCAGTTCACTGCTGGTCAGAGCGAGAGAGAGAGGCTGCTTATCGCACAGGCCCAGATCCTACCACTTTTCCCTTTTTGGAGTTCTTCGCTAGCCTGAAACGGAGCACATTTTCAAAATACCGTGTCTTAATGTTCATCATGATTCTAATTCTTACCTCGTATCAACCGGTTCCAAACTCCTATGGCAACGATTTTTGCAATGGTTTCGAAGCGTTTTGTTTCCAATGAAACAAACAATACTCGTTTCGGGAATGATCACAACACTCACTTGTTAAAAAAAAAAGTTAAACACTCTGGGTCTTCACTTCGTGAGAGATGTGTTTACATTGATTGAAGGCATATTTTTACCCATTTTTGATTGCAGAAGATATTTCTCAAATGGGGAAAAAGTACTCGCTTTTCGTTTTTTGAAAATACCCATTTTTTGACAGGTTTGAATAACTTCAAAAAAATAGTACAAGATACTCATTTAATGGGTACCTTCGAGTTAGCGTGTACGGGATCGATAAAAATATCGTTGTGCTCAGAAAACGAAGGTCTATCCTAGAGTCGGTGTATAATGAGTCACGCCAAGAGTGAAGCCAAGTCTACCTATTGAACTGTCAAACCGGCTACCTATCGTGCAAAGCTAATAAACATTACGATGCTATGAAAGATCCACGAAAGGTATTGCAATATAATATAAAATATAATCGAAAAAATGAGCATAAACACGCAGTGAGCGTTAAATTGTCATGGGATACGCTCGGTAATGATTAGTAATGAGAATTTCTACTATTTTTTGTTCAGATTATTTGTCAAAATCACTGATATAATGATTTACTACAGCCGCAATATTTTTTCTCTCGCTAGAAGTCATTTGAAGTTGTTGTAGAAGTCCTCTGTTGCCAAGTGAAAAGAATTGGAATGTTTCGAAAACCGTGATGCAAGTTCAACTGTTTTTCTCTTGGCGTGACTCATTATACACCGACTCTAGTCTATCCTATACGGTGTTTCGTGAAAACCTATTAATGGGTAAAAAATACCCATTTTCAAACCATGTATGAAGCTGTCAAAAAATGGGGGAATTTGAAAATCATAAAATGGGTGAAAAAATACCCATTTAAAGAATCAGTTCACGGTTGCATAATGGGTATATTTTTTATCCACTAAAGCCTAGTATACAGATCGAAGCGAAACGAAAATTGAAGCATGCGAAAAATCATGAAATTTCGCTAGCGAAAAAGGTTGTGAAAAATGTTTGTGGAACATTTTCCAGTTTCCTTTTTTCGCAGTTTACAGTTCATGTGAAACGAAATCGGTCAGTTTACACCTCCGGTGAAGTGAAAATCTGACAGATACGCTCTTTCTCGAAACGTCAACTTTTCGCTTACCTGCTGCTCTTTTCGTTAGCACTGCATGCGCGAAAAAAAAAATGAACGTAAGCGAAAAAGATACGATCCACAAAATAAGATTTCACTGGATCGTAACTGTTTACACCGTGCAGCGCTCGCGAAAAGAGCAGCAGCTAAGCGAAAAGTTGACGTTTCGGAAGAGCGTATCTGTCAGATTTTCACTTCACCGGAGGTGTAAACTGATCGATTTCGTTTCACATGAACTGTAAACTGCGAAAAAAGGAAACTGGAAAATGTTCCACACACATTTTTTCACAACCTTTTTCGCTAGCGAAATTTCATGATTTTTCGCGTGCTTCAAATTTCGTTTCGCTTCGATCTGTATACTAGGCTTAAGCGAAAAAGATACGATCCACAAAATAAGATTTCGCTGGATCGCATCTGTTTACAGTTCAAAGCGAAGCGAAATATTTGCCAATTGCGTATTTATTTTGTATGAATTTTTCGCTTCGCTTCGATCTCTATACAGGCCTTAAATGAGGAGGGGCAATTTTAGCGGAAATGGATATTTTTTAACCCATTAATGGGTTTTTGCGAAACACCGTGTAGGGTCTATCAGAATGATGTATGATGATGTATGAAAATCGGTATATATTTTTCGAAGTTAAACAACCCAATTGGTTCCCGAGATTCTATCCGCCAGACTATGAATATATAGTCGCTAAGGCTGTGGTCCATTTGGTGAATTTTCACTTAAATTTGACACTTCGAAACTAAATTATAATGTTCGAAAATCCCTCTGTTGTTGATCGGCCAATTTTCGAGAAGGTGTGTGTCAAAATTGATTCCTTGTCTGTCAGATATAAGTCTGCTGGAATAGCAGGTTAATTTGGAAATTTTCCATCTGTCAAGTTTAAGTGAAAATTCGCCAAATGGAACACAGCCTAAGGCTGTGTTCCATTTGGCGAATTTTCACTTAAACTTGACAGATGGAAAATTTCCAAATTAACCTGCTATTCCAGCAGACTTATATCTGACAGACAAGGAATCAATTTTGACACACACCTTCTCGAAAATTGGCCGATCAACAACAGAGGGATTTTCGAACATTATAATTTAGTTTCGAAGTGTCAAATTTAAGTGAAAATTCACCAAATCAGTGTCAACATTTCAAAGGGGCGTAATTGCATTTGTAAACAATGGCTTTAGCCTTCGATTTCTGGTGAATAAAAGCTCAATCATGAAGATTAATGTCACCAGCAGATAGAGGAATGTTACCTTTACCAGCTAGCATTGTTAATATGGAGAGGTGAACTTTTATTTGCGAGAAATCGACGGCTAAAGCCATTGTTTACAAAATCAATTACGCCCCTTTGAAATGTTGGCACTGAAATGGACCACAGCCTAAGTTTCGAGCGTGCGTGTATTTATTCTAAATTGTGATATTTACAATTAGTGTGCACATAATGAAAGATAATAAATTGGTGCCAAATTTATCACGCATATAAAATTATAAAAAGGATTTTTCCGAAATTAATAGGTTGGTGAGTTATATTTTAGTATTTTCAACACAATTATTACTAAGTGGTTTATTTTTAGTGAAATTACAGTCCACAATCGGTAGCCATGAATTGGGCAGCACGTATATGGAGCAGAACTCTGCGTAGTAGTTTTTCAACTTTGATAGAAACAAACATTGAAAAGCCCTACTATCTAGTTTCCGTAGCTTGCGGTTTTCCGAAAAACATTTTGCGTTCCAAATTTAGGCTAGGAAAGTTTGGAGATGATGCATGGTTTATAACTTCCACGAAGAAGGCAGACGTGATTGGTAAGTATCGTTACATTAGCAATATTATCCTACTGAATTTTTGGACACCAACCTCTAAGAGATCACCTGAAAGACACCTTGAATGCAACATCCCGAGGGTTAAGACACGCAAACAGGTTCCATTTTTCGTGACGCTTACCAATTAATTTATCATTTGGATGTAGTATTCAATCATTTAATTCTGATTCCAAAGCTCTACACCCCGTATTTGACCAAATTAACTGAATCAACGATACGGATGTCGCATTATACATTTGTTTTTCATAAGCCTAAGGGTTGATGCATATATTATGTCACGCTTTAAGGGGGGAGGGGGGTCTAAGATTTTGTGACAAGCAATGCATTAGTTATAGGAAAAACGTCACGATAGGTGGGGGGGGGGGTGAGGGGTAATTTTTTGCTCGATTTAGCGTGACATAATTAATGCATGGGCCCTAAATAGTATTTGTGACCGATTACGACATTGCTTTTTCACGATGAATGTTATGATGATGATGATGATGACGGTTATCATCATTTTGTTGGTGGAATTTTTAAGTCAGTTTGTAAGGTATGTAGTTTTGTGTATAATGTTACCTATAGGTTTTATAATAACTTGTTGTTATAATAATTATCGGCAAGAAAAACGTCATCAAGATTGCCTTCCATTTCCCCGAATTCCATTCACCCGAATGGACCATTAATCCATATTCCAAGTCTTTGTTTATTTATTCTTTATAAGGGCTTTAAAAATTATGTATTCCATCTGTCCTGGACGTTCACTTCCATCCAAAAATTCGTACCTTTTGTAGATAGCGCTATTCCCATAACAGGTGGCGCCGGTGGTGTAGTAGTAAGCGTGATTACCTCTCACCCCAGCAGGCCTGGGTTCAATCCCAGTCGGCGCCACCGGGATGTTCTGAGGCATAATATCTCTGATCACGCCTTCCTTCGGATGGGAAGTAAAGCCGTTGGTCCCCGGTTCATGAGTTGATGGGTCGATAGGTAGGGTCCAGGTGTGGGAGCTGCCTTCCTGGCACGTCGGTAGCATTGGTGCTCAGCACGGAAAACAAGATCGACGGAAAAAACAAACCAAAGGAAAAAAAAAAAATTCCCATAACAGTCCCATGAAGATATGAAACCCACAGGACATGGGATTGTTATGTGAATAGCGGCAGAATATCCGTCTAACAATAGAAATTTATTTCTATTGCAGTGCGGTGACCTTGAAACTGTTAGAGAAATACATGCTAATGAGTATTCACCCTTGCATGAGGGTCAACCATAAACTTGTCACCTACAGGAAATCAGCTCAATTGATTAGAAGACAGCCGAGAAATGGCGGAGGGTGCCACTATCCACCGCGCTACTCGGGGAATTCCTGTAACTCAAAAGAACATGCTGCATGTGATAATAAGAAAGGTGAATACTCATTGGAGTTTCTCAGTATCAATGAACCATCCCTTGAAGGAGACGCTTATTTATATCAACAGAATATTAAAGAAATTGTGCCCTATATTTACAAAAAAACGTAAAAGGTTTAGAATTTAACTCCCATCCAACCTCTCCCAGGCTTCGTGGCACAAATTTCTAAATCTCTCGCTCAGAGCGTAAAAAATGTATAATATAGAAATGTACACGCAGAGAAATATGTTGTAAATCCAAAAGAATTCTGTATCGATTCAACAAATTTTATTATAGACTGACGGCTTGCCAGTAATTATTTTTGATTCAACTACACTGAACCAAAACATCCACCGATCGTTGAATGAAATCTCATTCAGCGTCAAGCAAAACTAATGATTCCTGAGATTGAATGAAAAACACGTCGAATGATTTTATGATCAACAATAAGTGGTTTTTGTTTACTTTTCAAACGTTCAAAAATCATTCTATTTCAGGTTAGGTTTGTCATCATCTTTCGGCTATTCTCTATCAGTTAGCAAATGGTGGCGAAGACCGTGACTGCGCGAGTTTGTTTTCATTTGTGAAAAAAGTGAAATTTAGTGTTTGACTAAATACAATAAAATGAATAGTAAATGGCTCAAGTTTGTTCGGGAAAAAGTGATATTTTGTACCCTCGGTACCTCTATCGTTCTTTTTTTACGGGATGACATCCGTTGACGAGAAAACATTTAATTATTTTAAGATTTAATTAAGATACATTCTTTAGGAATAAAGTTATATCAATAGAAATAATTGTCTAATTGTTTATTTAAATATTCTAGAAAAATATAGTTAGACGACCATTTCATATGAGATGACTCATGTAGTCTTCTTATTTTTACACAGTAATGCTAATAACTGATTGAAATGGTTGTGTAATTATTTTTTTCAAGAATATTTCTGATAAGAAAATACCCCTATTAAGCCAACTACATAGATATGGACATCATTTGAATTCTATCTCATTTTCTTTCATTACAAGACTGATGAGTTGAAAAGTTTTTGTATGCAAATCATTCACACAGTGTTCTGTTTTGATTATTGTATATATGATTATAAAGCTAATTTTAAATTATATTCATACATTTGGCCTTGATTCTGTCAAAAGATGAATTAAATGACGATCTTCTTAAAATCATCTGATAATAAGCATGGGGCTTGGGTGAGGCAAAAATCATTCAGTAAACGGCGGGTGTTTTCGTTCAGTGTAGTACGGTCATTTACTTCCACTATAAAGTTTGTTGTTTCAAGAATTGCTCTAAAATTGCCAGCTGTCACAAACAAAACAAAATCATTGTTGAAACAAAAATATGATTTGTTAGATCAATGCAGATGTGTATGGAAATAGCTAAAGATATTGTTTTGAAACAAAAAATACATAGGGGAAATGGATGTGATGTCGGCCTAAATGCCTCTATTTTGGGCCCATACAAAAATTCAGCAATCGACTAAATTTTCAATAGCGACCAAAAATATCTATTAGAACCGTCCCAATGACGCGTTCATCTAGATAAATTGATTAATAGGGGAAATGTCTCTAATGCTGGCCTATGGATCTAAGATTGGGCCCATCGCTAAAAATCTGCTATTTATCAATTTTATCTAGATGAACGCGTTATTGGTAAGTTACTAATGGATATTTTTGGTTGCTATTGAAAATTTAGTCCATTGCTGAATTTATGTATGGGCCCAAATTAGGGACACTTAGGCCGACATTACCTGCATTTACCCTAGCAGATTTTTAGCGATGGGCCCAATCTTAGACCTATAGGCCAACATAAGAGCCATTTCCCCTATTATTGTTTTAACAATTTTGTATTTTAGTTCCAAAAATATCAACGCATTGTATCAAAAACCGATTTTGTTCGCTTTACGCTAGATTCTTTTTGTGCTTTTATTACTTATAATAATACAATAAAATATTTTTTAAGCGTCATTTATTATTGTCATGAAATTACAACACCTAAAGTATTCCCTCCCCTTGGCTAATTTTTGCACCTTGATGCTGGTGGGCGGGCTTAATTCCATGCTTTTTAGTGGAGTGTTGGAGACGGTAGGTTTATGGCTGGCGTTGCTGGCTCATGCCGCGATAGAATGGCGCCATGGGCAGGCAATGGGGATTACTAAGCTTCCCCTCTCTGATAAACCACTGCATGAGAGAACCAAAGATCTAGTCTAGCAGTGATAGTATCACACTTGTTACTCCTTCGATTGAGAGCCGCGTCGTAGTACGCTTACGTATAGGCACTGACGTTGGGTGTGATACTGGTGGGTTTTGCCGCAAATCACTCTTAATTTATTTAGTTTTACGCAGATAGATTTATTTGGGTTTGCAAGGGAATTATACTATTGAAATATTTCAGAAAGTGCCGAACGGTACTCCTTCTATTTACGTGCCACGCTTTCATTGTTGTTTTCATTGAAGTATTACTCAGGAAACAATGTTAAACACCATTTTTGTACATGGTATTGTAACTAATCTTATATGTGCTTCATTTTGATTTGGGATAAGTGTGGTGTGCTTCTATTGTTACATACCCATATGTATTTTTGTGGTGCGACATAGTGGAAACGTGAGAGCGTAATTGGAACATTTACCCTATACAATATACAATTTAAAATTAGCTTGGAAACTTACTTCAAAGTGAAGCATTTTAGTCACTTGAAGGTGTCACCTGGGACGAACAAAGATATAATTAATATATGTCAAAGCCAGAAGTTCTTGAAACACGTTAAATTTAAGTTTAAAAGCATGGGTTATGATTGTGTAGGTAGAGATTTCAGTTATTTATTAAATAAACTTCAATTAGAGAATTCAGAAAGTTAATTAACATAAGAGATAGGACGCGGGGGGTCCGCGTAGGGAGGCGACTAGCCTTTGAAGTTGCATAATAAATCCTATTTAGTGTATTTGTTAATTACAGGCAATGTTAATAGCGAAAGTCATATCTTGAACCAGACGCTTACGAACTAGTAAAGTTTTAGGAAAGATGTGTTAAATATGTTGATAGGTTTGAAATAAGAATTAGGATTGTTGTGCTTTAGGTAAGGTATAATGTGTCAACAAAACCCTTTTGAGCAAATTTTCAGACATCAAAGTGATTGAGTGATTTATTGAAAGACATTGCGTTGCGAAAATTTACAAGTCATACATCTAACATAGTAGTAGTAGCAGTGTCGCATAATCTTATCACAATTGCTGCAAATAGTGCTGGAGGGGCCGGCAGGACTGAATACGGATCAAAACTAACATAACTACTAACACTAAAATGATCCCGGAACTAACACTTATCCATTGCACTAGTTATATATTAGTTTTATTTTCCTACTAAGTTATCTATGCTTCTTTCTAGTGTTTGGATCAAGTACAACTAATACTAATCTACCTTTATGTATGTATTACTCCCTTTTAACCCATTATCTTTATGAATGGCGAATCATATGACATGAGACACGGGGATTTCAATTGACTAAGGAGAAGGAAAAGAATAACTTCGAACAGGATATCAAACAAATTCAGGACCAATCCAAATGAGACCAGAAATCAACAAGGCATCGGGGCGTTATATACTCGG